CGTGTGCTCTTCCGATCTCCCCAAAACCCCAAAACCCCAAAACCCCAAAACCCCACAAGTAAAAATATAAATAGTCTTAAATATAAATGAGTTAATAAAAAATTAATTTATAAGTTTACATTAAAAACTGAAGATAAATCATTTTTTACTTTTCAAAAGCAGGGGGGGATAAGACAGCACATAAGTCCCTTACAACTGCCAACAGGCATTCTTTTATTATAAAATGTCTGATCTATCATTTAAACTCCACAAATAATCAGTATTTTGTCCATAGGTGAGGAACTTCTAGGAAATTCAATATAATACACAGTGGCGTTTGAGCATAAGTCAGTAAGGATATCTATCTTTTATTTACGAATCAATCCAACACATCTATTTTAATATCTGACATCTATAATTTGCATGTTAAGATTGCCATATAAACTACCAAGCAAAGACACATTTGATGAAGATGGGAAAGATATCGCATATTTAGGTTCTTTATCTTTAGGTCCAAGAAGTAATTCACCTCGATAGAATGGCCACTTATTTAACTCGAGATAGCCTTGATATAATCCCTCTACATTCATAACTTGCTTCATAATAATCTGTGGGTCAATAGCTTAGTTTATATTTACATTATATTACACATCAGCCTACTCATACTGCTTAACCCTCGCATTATTTTCTTATATCCTTTTCATTTATTGTATATTTTAATTTAATAGATTTCTCCATTCTTATTTCATGGATGAGTCTATTCTTATGCTGATTTCTGCAAATGAGTTACCTCCAAAAAAGGGACTACAGCTTACTTTGTTCTTTGTGAAAATACCATCTATTTCAGGACTTATTGGTGATGAAATTTAATATTGATACCTTTTCATCCCAGATAAGAGACAACATCTTTCACATTAATTTGAATTTTCCCTAAACTCCAAAATATGGTTTTAAATAGACTTAGTTCTGTTTGATTATATGGCGTCTAGAGTGAGTTTTTTTATTACTTTATAATTGTTTTGTGCCATTAATAACCCGCATGATACTCTCTCAATATACTCTGGTTATTTGATTAAGTAAAGACTTTCACTATAATAGAGTTCTTATTCGAGTCTAGACAGCTTTTCGAAGCTTTCCTGCTCCATTATATATCTATTATCTATTAAAGTCTTTTCAAGTAATTCCTTTGCTTTAGTTCTGGAACTTTAATCCAAAAAATCTTTATCAACAGCAATTTAATCTTTCTTCCTTTTAGTTTTTAGAGCCAAGTATCTTTTAGGGTTGTTATCAGTTTCAAAATGATACTAAAAATTTTTCTTTTTGACATCTTGATCTTTGATGACCTACTTAATCATACCATTATAACTTATAACAGTTTCATTAAGATTTGTTTCATTAGTTGAAGTATTATTAAAATTCTCTTTGATATTGTCATAAAAAATTAAAGTACTCAAGTCATCTTATTTTACATTTCTATTGCTAAGAGTATCATTCAAATTAATGTTACTCTAATGAACATTTTTTAGCATATCATTTTTCTATGATTCATTTCTAAATCTAATCAAAAATTAAACAAAAATTCAAATTACTATTGATTTTTTTCATCTAATAATAGCTACTTATTAACATTAAGATGAGTATGAGTACTAGCCAAGGAATGATTCAAATTATGCTTTGATATGCCTTAGTTATATAGATGATCTAGAGAGTAATTGCTGATATGAGTTGGTTTCCTCTCAATAGTTTGTCTAATAGAATTAGTTGATCTGTTCATTGTATCTTCAAGTGATTCGTCATTCTTCATAAGAATATCAGAGGATTCTTTGGACATTATCAAGTCAGAAAAAGTAGGTTTTATTTTGGTGCTGCTTATATATTATTATTCTTAAGGTATCTAGTAATTGAAGTTATGATGTGTACCTAGTCTTTACAAGTTCTATTCTAATTATTAATCTTATACAATGATGATATTCTCTTAGCTTTAAGGTTAGATGTCAAAGTAAAGATTATCTAAGTCTCCTCCTCATTAATTATTCCTTTCCCTCTACAAATCATTAATTAACTAGTTTTCTCTTCCTAATTAATAGTCATATTTCATTGTCTCATTATATCTATTCGAATTTGGCTAAGCAGATCCGTTCTAATTGACTTTCCAAATAGCATTGTTAAAAGCTTATTAAGGCGTATAGTTTGAGTCCATTGTTTTCTATATTTAATTCCAAAATATCAACACTAACTCTTCTTTTTATTTTTCCTTTGGGGTTTTGGGGTTTTGGGGTTTTGGGG